GCTCTGCCATTACCACTTTCACGGTGAACCAGGGCCTGCCCTCTATTCTGGATTCCAGCCCAGGGACCCTACAACACGCAGTCTGTTCAGTCCCAAAATTTGCTGCTTCCTACCCTGCATCCTATAGGCTCTCTTCTCCAGCCTGCTCTCTTCAAGGTATGCCCTTCCTTCAGGCCCAGGCCTCCAGGTTCTCCTCTTTCCCTGGGTTTCCTCCATTGCTCTCTACTAAACAGAGGGTGACTACAAACTTCCTCCCAGCGGCCTTTGCTGCTGCCAGCTTCCTGGCTTTATACTAGCCCACCCACCTCTGCACAGGTGAGCTTCCCCCTCGTTAGGGCTTTTCACTCACCCTTAATTCTCCTGCATTGCAGCCTACTTGGCTGATTGGGCCCACCTGGCCAGCTTAGGCCTCTCAGAACCAGTGTGGGACATACACCCCACTACACTCTTCCTCACCCAGAAGGAAGATCCATTCCTTGCTATTCTGAGCTATAGATCAATACCAATAGCTGCTACTGGAGAGAGTCCAATACAGTTCCCGATGGGAAGACAACTCAGATTCTTTTCCAAAGTCAGAACAGTAGTTCTATCTCCAAAGTGGCCAGACATGAAGAGAGTAGCCAAATTGGCAAAAAGGCAAAAAAGACTTACAAACACTTCTATACTAGACATCACTCAGAGAACAGCCAGATCTAAGGAAAAGGAATTCATCGACCGGATCATATGTGATTGAAACTGATGAAACTGGTGGAGAGTTCAACGGAAACCATCAATATCTTCAGTTTGTTTCTCAGAAAGAACAATCAATAGAGCAGCCTCTACAGATGGCAGATGCAGAACAAGAAGATGACTGAATGATTCTGAACTGACCACACCCAGTCATTGCAACTAATGGATAGCCGGAAGGACCAAGTTGTTACACATTCAGATCTTGTATAGAAAACCAGTAAGATTCTGAGACACTTAATAGACTGATACGTACTCAACATTAAAGATAGCATGACAGTATGATTTTTTTTAAATGAGGGAAAGGTAAAACTAAAAGAGGGAGACATGATGGAATGCTAAAACTGTATTTGTGTTCACCCACTAGGTTGCACCATGTGCAACATAACTTACCTGAGCTGGTAACAGCCATACTTGGCAGTGCATTAAAGAATCTTAAAATTGAACAGATCTCTTATACTGCTGTCCATGACGGAAGCTCTGTAACCAGTCCATCTCTGGTACAGAAGCCTAACCTACTAGTAGTAGCCTTGTAACCTACTACTTCCTCCATGTACAAGGAGCACATGACAACATCAAAGCAGTATTCAAATTAATTATTATTATTATTGGTGCATTACAGTTGACTTACTGCTTCTTCCTCCATGACATTTCTAAGATCAGAGCTCTTTTCTCTCCCCACCCAGATAAATCTTTTCCAGACCCTTATCTTCCATCTCATTACTGCATAGATGAATTACCTAAGGCTCTCTGAAAACCACATATCCCCCTTCCACTCTGCACAAAACATAATCTTTCTTGCTTTTCATTCTGATTGAACCTCTCCACTGATTATTCTCACGCCACCACATCAACCTCAAGCTTCTTATTTGGCTTTCAAGGCTTCTCATCACTCTGCGCCTCTCTACTGTAATTATCCTCCTTGAACTGTTGCTTTATCCCCCTCTCTTTCCCCTCTGCTCTGCCAGTGATGTCAGCCTGAAAGCCGCATTTGTCTACTTCATCGCAGCCACTTCCATGCTGTCTTCCAAACTGCTTCCTATACATGGAACACCCTTGCTGAGCTTTTCCGCAAAGCCATTACTTTGTCATCATTTAAATATTTGCAGAAGACCCACTTCTTCCACAATAGGTATAAAAAACAAGCTTTCTAGGTCATGTTATAAATTGTTTCATTTATTTACCTTGTTAGTATGGCTGATTATTTTTTGACAGATTTTTTTTTTTTGGAGTTGAAAAATGGAATTCTATCCAAGACTAAATTTGTGTATGACACAATTTTGATCATTGGAAAAAACTTTTAAATGAAAAGTTCTGGGGAAAAAATCACACCTCCCCCCCATTTTGAAATAATAGAAAAATTTCCATATTCTTGTAATATTTTACTTTCCTAATTTCCCCCCACCGCCCGCCTCCCTCTCTTTTCCACCAGAGGAAAAAAACTTTTACTTCCCTCTTGCCTACGTCTACATGCCTCAATTGTCTTTATCGTTTTAGACCAGGGGTCGGCAACGTTCGGCACGCGGCTCGCCAGGGTAAGCACCCTGGCGGGCCGGGCCAGTTTTATTTACCTGCTGACACGGCAGGTTCGGCCGATCGCGGCCCCCACTGGCCGCGGTTCGCCGTCCCGGGCAAGCGATGTGCTGGCTGCGGCTTCTCGCCGCCCCCATTGGCCCGGGAC